CCGAATCACCAAAACACGAACCTCGCCGGAGAGCCGCCGCACCCGAGAGCGCCGCCGCCGGTAAGCTCCGTTTTTCCGTGATTTTTTGGCCCCCCGAGGGCCCTAGGGTTGTTTTCTCACAAGGACCAATACGAGTGTGGCCGAATTCGGCCAAAAACGGCCGAAAATAGCCAACCCGAGGCGACTCGCCGCCGCCAGCGGCGGCGCCGTCGCCGGAGCACGGCGGAGTCGCCGTGCTGGAGTTGCGATTTGGGCCGAAAGAGGCCCTGGGCCTAATTTGGGTTTTTTTTTGGAACACGTGCAGGTATTGTTAGTGTGTTTCAGTTCCCCGGGAAAAATTCAGGGAAAATTAGGGACGGCCTGCAGGCGCACTGTGAATCATATTCGGATCCCGAAAACAAGTAAGGACCCCTCACCCTATTTTCTATCACGGTATTAAAGCTTAATAAATAATTAAACAGTATTTTGAGACTTTATAGATGTATAATTGATTGAGGTTGCCGATGGAGCCCGAGTCTGATACAATGTTGGTCTGTTATTGTTGATCTAATTTTCAGTATTGAATGCAGTATGAAGTTTGATGTTTTCATTTTATAGTTTCGTGTGCATATTTTACTGTTTTATTGATTATTGATTGAATGACTGAAATACCGATACTGTATGTTGTCTGTTTGACATGAATTACGATTTGCTTGTTTAAATGTGAATTGATGATGCTTATTGAGAAAAAGGAAAATGAAAGATTGTGTAGACTGATAATTATATGATGGGGTCAGCCTGACTAGATATCCTAGGAGATGGTGGACGGACCGGGTCCGTAGGGAACCCTACCGGGATTGTGGTCTCATATGCCAGGCTGGGTATGGAGATCCTATGGTTTTGGCGCCCATACCGGACGGGGTATGGGGACGGCCCGTTTCACCTCATACCGGACGGGGTATTGAGGTTTATGGTTTTGGCGCCCATACCGGACGGGGTATGGGGACGGCCTGAAAACTGATCATGAATGTTAAAGGTTAACGGGTAGCGGGACCCCTATGGACCCCCATGGATACTAGTAGGCTGGTAAATGAGAAAAGGATATGTTGTATAATGATTGAATTATAAAAGGCGTGATAAGTGCTATGTTTTACAGCTTATATTATTCCATGATTGTGATAATGTTATTGTTTTCTTATATTGTTTCATGAATTCCACCGAGGTAAGTGGATGGTAAAGGTTTTATCATAAATAAAAGGATTTGTTGTAAATCATGCTCCATTGGTCTTTTGTGTTTTTCTACCCACCTTTACCTCCGTGACGGTGAGATATCGTGATGTTCTTACTGGGCTAGTGTAGCTCACTCCTTATTTAACCATTTTAGATCAGGAAGACATGGTTCCCGAGCCCGTTCCGCAGGAGGACGACGAAGGGGATACCTAGAGACTCTGTAGTCATACTCATAGTTTTATTTTCGAGTTTCTCTCTTAGTTAGTTTAATCTTTTATATTTTAAGTACGTTTTTGGTTTTTCGTGTAAGGGATGTTAACTGAAATTTTGATCTCGCTTCCGCATTTGGTATATTTAAATATTCATTTCATTTTAATATTTTTGGGGCCGTTACAAAAGTTCTCTCTTAAGAAGGAAAGATTTAGACATGAAATATTTTCGTTGCGATGAATTCAAGTATGCTTTGTGAAAGATTGTAATGTATTCGTAATACATAACAAAAAAATATAAAATAATACAATCTGATCTATTTATACCTCAAAAATTATATTGTAAGTTAAATATCAAATTTAAAACATAATTGAGAGTGAGTTCTTAAATTAAAATTTTTTCAAAATACAAAAAATTCTATATGTATCCACGTTGAAATTGATCTTTGTTAATAAACTATTTAATTAACAGAACACATGAACAAATTGAAGAATATTTGTGTTAAAATTCACTCAATTTTTCTTTGTCTTTTGGTGTGCGTGCAACTAGGTTTTTCTTCTCTTCACTTTTTTAAATTTGCAATCCCATATACATATGCATTATATATATAGGAGGCATGGCTAGTTACTAATTCCTATTTGAACTTGTTCCTGTACATGTCCAAACTAATTTGAACTCTTTTTGTCGGCACCTAATTACATAGATATATATATATATATATATAATATTATATATGTTGCATTTTATTATTATTATTTAATAAAATAATTTTATAAATTAAATTAATTTCAAATTAAATTTTACAATAATCTCTATTATTATAATTGTCACATATATTATATTATTATACCAATAATATAATAACAAAAAATATGTATTAATTTTCTATTTTTAAAATAAAAAATTCAATTTATCTCCATTATTAATTATGTCTTTTGTGTTAGTAAAAAATATAACAATATTCTATTTAGATAAAAAAAATTTATTTATTTAATTAAATTAAAAATTTTAATTTAATTATTAAATAAGTAAAATAATTAATTCATTTAGTAAAAATCAGAATACTCATTAGTGACCTCATAGATTCAATATTAAACCAGTAGCAAATTGGTTAAAGTAATCTACTGATCAAAATTGGTGTTTAGCAACACTACTTAACGACTGAATAGTATGAACTGTATAATTACTCTTAAGAAGCTGTTAAAGAATAATAAAATATTTTATTTTGTCATTATTGTTTCGGGTTTTACTTAATATATGATTTAACTGTCAAATCCCAATAGATAACCGACTATGTTTCAAATCAATTATAACTGATAAATGAATGACATAAGAAACTTTTTTTTCTTTCAGTCAATTGCACTGATCAATGTTTTAATTTAATCGTCATAATAAATGACAATGTATAGCTTAAATTTATAACCAAAGTTGACAAATTTTGTCTTAATTAATCACTAATTTTATAAATATTTAATCATACATAACATCATTTTAACTATAGTTTTATGACTATATAGGTGTTCGAAATCAAAGTATAATAAATGATTTGTTAATTACTATCATGATCTTATATCAAAAGAAATTCTTACATCATATCATTTTAAGAGAATATTTTATTGATAGTTTAAAATAATATTAACGATTAAGAATTCTTAATTGGATCGATTTAATGATAATAAATCCATATGCATTATCTATATATGTGATTTAGTTAATAAGATCAATCAACCTTTATCTTATAAAGACCATCACATATATATTAATTTTATTGGATCATTAATATCATATTTTAATAGTCCAACAACTAAGAACATTTTAAATTAAATTATAAAAAAGTTTACTCTCATTATAAAGATCTTCATCTTGATGTAAAGTCTCTAAATTTAATTAAAAATTTTATCATATAAATTAAATAATAAATATAATAATAAAAATATTATTATCATATATTAAAATAAATTGTCAAATTAAAATATATTTAATATATTACACGAATAATTAAATTATGGGCATAACAATTATATCCCTAACACTTTGCACGTAAAATTATAATTTTTTAGTATAACATGAGATTCTGCATTTCCAACTATAAATATATAAAAAATCAAACCAACATATAAAATCATTTTCTTGTAATATATTGAAAATACTTTAAAATTGGTAAGAGAATGAAATTAATAAATACTTTAAAATTTTATAGAGAGAAATAATACAAATTCTATAATATTTATAAAATAAAATTTTACACACAAACTTGTTATGTATTAACTTTTTGAATTTAATAAATCTTACTCAATTTTTTTACCTCACACACACTCTCGCTTCCCCCCAATTTATTGTTGCCATTTTACCTTCTCTCGTTTTACTGTTGTGGTTTTGCTTTCCCCCCTCATTAATTAATTCATTCAAGTTTAATTTTCTAACAAAATATCATATATTATGTAAAAAAATTGTATGATAAGGATAAGGTTGCCTTAGAAAGGGTTATCTATATCATTTTTTCTTGACTTTTTTTTATTTACTTATTATGTTTCATGAGTGACTCAAAAAAGGATGATTTAAACAAATATTTATCAGTACGTAATTTCTGTGCATTTAGTATGGAACATATAGTTACTACACCTCGCAGACAAGTCTCTATGCTTATAAGTTGGAGGACTTGAGAACAATCTTACCTCGGAGGTATGCGTCTGATTTATAATAGTGAGCTAGCTGAGGTGGGTAATATTTTTTGCAACCCTCTCCATGAGAGTACATAACATCCATTCAGATGTCACTATAATCATCAGAGCATAGATAGTTTCGATAATGATTTTAAGAGACTTAAAATAACAATGTTACATATTTTATTAAGTGAAAAAAATTTTAAATTTTTATTAATTTCAAAATTAACAACTTAGTTTACTTTTAAATAGATTTATATATAAATTAATCTTATAAAAATAAATTATCATAGAATCTTTTAAAAAATGAAATTTCACTCATTACATAAATTTAATTAAAAGATAAATTCTAGTTAATTATGAATTAACAAATAAGATAAATTATAATTTTTAAATTAATCTTTAACAACTCCATTATTTATGGAAATATAATAATATTAATCTACATAATGGAGATAGCTTACTTTCAATTCTTTGTTTCCTCATGTTTAAACTAGGATTGTTTGTTGAGGATGTTATGCAATTAACTCATATTTTTCTACGGTTTCTTCTTTCGAAATACTGTATCAAGTAGTTTATAATTTGGCTGGGGAAGCACTTTATATACCCTAACATTATCTCACTTTTATGGGAGTCTACTGGTTGCATGACTTCTTTATTTGAGCAGGGTCTTTCATATCTTGTTTTCACTTACGAAAGTTAATATTCTCACAAGAAAAAACTGCCTAATTAGGAGAAATACTTAATTTAGGTTGCAATACGTTCTAAATTCTTATATATATATAAAAAAAAAACCGAAAATTCAAGTATATTATTAAAGCAAAAGCACTAGCATCAGAAGTGCTTTGAGTCTCACAGGGATGATAATTAAAGTCAAGTAAAAGATAATAAAAGCATTTTACCAATGCATACACTTATTCATATCTTCAAGCGAAAGCTAGGAATAGCACATAAATTATTAGCCCGAGGAGTCACCAGGCTGAACTTCTCGGTCATGTCTAGCTCACTCGGCATCTTTCCATCAGGTAGGTCCCAATCGAAACAATGCACCAGCTGCGCGACCACCAAGCGAACTATAGTTAATCCAAGCTGCATTCCAGGGCAACCTCTGCGACCAGATCCAAATGGAAGAAGCTGGAAATCACGCCCACGAACGTCAATATTGCTTCCCACAAACCTCTCAGGCCAGAACTTTTCTGCATCAATCCATGCATCTTGGTCTCTCCCGATCGCCCACATGTTTATCAGAATGCGTGAGTTCTTGGGTATGTGGAATTCATTCACGATGCAGTCCTCCATTGATGCATGAGGAAGAAGCAATGGAGCTACAGGGTGGAGTCTCATTGTCTCCTTCACGACAAGGTATAAATACTCGAGGCTGTCAATATCTGATTCTTCCACCATTCGGTTCATGCCCACCACGTTTTCCAACTCCTTTTGGACTTTGTTAAGTGTTCTTGGATGCTTCATGAGTTCTGATAATGTCCATTCAATTGCAGTTGATGAGGTGTCCGTTGCTCCTGCAAGCATGTCCTGAACGTACACCCATCCATTAGAGACCCTGGAACAGATATAAACAAGCTATACATCCCAAACTATAAAACTTTACTTTAGTCTAGTATTTATTTATATTATGTTTAACTTAAGTTACGCACCAAAATTACAGCTTTGATGTTCTCTCTCTCAATAGGGTAATCTGCCTGTTCTGAGCCCATGACGTCTAACATGAAATCAACGAAGTCCTTGGTTTTGTTTTGATCCTGGGATTGAACGTGCTCGTCGATAATCTTTTCAAAAAATTCATCAAAAACCCTACTAATAGCCTTGGAGCGCTTGGCAACTCCTTGAAGATCAAGTTTGGCAATGGGAGGAATATAATCACTCAAGTTAAAAGTTGCAGCTATTTCCATAGCTTCTTGAATCACTGCTTTGAATCCTCTCTCATCGATATCTTTATCTATATATTTCTTCCCAAACACCATTCTACACGTGAGATCAGCGGCAAAAGCTGATACTTCAGCACTAAGATCCACAACAGCACGAGAACTAGTAGCTGCAACCTGTCTAATTTGTCGAATCAAGTTGCCAAGCTCTTCTTTCCTTAATTCTTTAAAAGAATTAATCTTGACATTGCTAAGCAACTCTAAAGTACACATCTTGCGGATGCTACGCCAATAAGGTCCATAAGGAGAAAAGCTTATATTCTTTTGGCCATAAGACATATGCATTGCAGCCTGGTGAGAAGGCCTACTGGCGAATACAATGTCGTATGTTTTGAGAAAGAGTTCAGCAGCTTGGGGTGAGGAGACGACAATGGTGGGAATCAAGCCGAGCCGCAAGTACATGATGGAGCCATATTTTTTGGCTAGTGTTTGAAGATCTCGGTGAGGTTGGTGTCCTAACATGTGAAGGTTTCCCAAGATGGGGAGGCCTGTTGGTCCGGGTGGTAATCTCTTTGATCTTCTGCATTTGAATGATTTGATAAGGAAAATGCTCAATGCAAGAAATGAAAATAAACTCCAAATCCAATCCATGGTGTTATAGCTTAAAATCCAAGTTTAGATACCCAAAGACTGGAGTCAGGGATGTGTGTGTATACTCATATGTATATGTGTGTGTGTATATATATATATAGATATATATATATATATATCCATATAAGTATATGTGCGGTGAAAGATAAAGTGTCAAACAAATGGGAGATCACTTCAATGCCGGCCATAATCAGCAGATACTTCATAATTTTTCGAGGTACAAGTGAAAATTAACAATGACTATCGTTGGACCAATAAGGAGATTTCCTAAAAGGGTGGGTTAAAATGTAAAAAATGTACATAATATCCTACGCATAATTAGTTTAGAATTTTAAGTCCATCTTGAAAGAATACATATAATTTGGATATATTACCAAAAAAATTATTTAACTTTGTACTAGTTTAATAAAAATATTAGTATTTTAGAATTATGCCAAAGAATATTATCATAATTTGAATTGAAGTATTTTTTATTTTATTTGGCCGCAATCAAACGATAATATGGATGAATTATAAATCTTAGTTAATTAAATATATTTATATTTATACAAAAATCAATGTAAATTAGTTAATCTTATTTTTATTTAGTTATGTAGTTAGAATTAATTTTAATTATTTTTAACTAAATGATTGGAATCTCCTATCAAATTAGATCAGTAGTAAATCTCACGTCTTTCTCCTAAATGCTCACTACTTCATCGAAATTTCTCATTACAAATCAAGTAAAATTTTTGATCGAACTATGAAAATCAACATAGTACGGACACAAAGATATCTTATAACTATAATTGTTATTATCTTCTATTATAATTGAAAGATGATTTATTATTTTCCATATTAAATACTAAATAATAGTTAAATATATTTCAGATATCAACTATATAATTTTAATAATGAGAAATAATCATGTACTAGACAATCTTCAAAATTTCTTTTCATAAAAAATTTCAGTTCAAAGGATAAAAAGAAGTAACTGTGAGAATGTAAAAGAATAAAGAGGATGCTTGCATTTTTAACTTATTCTTATAGTAAATAATTAAAAAATATCTACCAAATGGTTAAAACTCCGGTGTTCTATTTCAAAATAGTGAGTTCTAACTTTATTAAAGATATATATCTTATTATTTTATAGATGTATTGTAACTTAGTGGTGACCAGTTTTTAATATTTAATTAAGTAGAATTGAGAACTTAAATTACTCATATATTTATGAAACTATGGCAATTAAGTTGAATTAAGTCTCAAAAAAACTATTATGTTTATGAGTGAAATAAATATTTCATAATCTTTATATTTTCTTAAAAAGTACCCATGATAGATTAAAAAGTTGATTTGAATTTTTTATTTTTTAAAAAATAATAATTGCAAAAATTAAAATATTATTTAAAAAATCATAAATTCAAGTTAGTGACTTCCAATTAGCTAAAGTAATAAATGTAATAATCTTCAATGGAAAATATGACTATCTAATCAATAATCAATGGAATTAGTAGGTAAAACCAAGGCAAAATTAATGAAGTGGTGGGATGTATATGTGAGTATTAATTATGACCTAACTTGTCAACAAGGATAATGTTAATCCACATTGTTCCTCATTCTTTAACTTAATGTAGGAAAAACTAATTAAGTGGTGGGATGTATATGTGAGTATTAATTATGACCTAAATTGTCAAAAAGGATAATGTTAATCCACATTGTTCCTCTTTCTTTAACTTAATGTATAAGTTTTAGTTGAAAGTACTATTTAAGACAAACAAAACATTTGTCTTGATCTTAGTTTGGTGTTGAAAGTAGTATTTAATTATAGGTGAATTTTCTATTTTGGGCGGAGAGAACAAAGACAAACCGATAAAATAACTTTATATGATATAATTTACTATCGATCAACTTAAAGATAAATAGTTAATTAGTTTAAAGAAAAGGATTAGAATGTATTTTTAAGAAGTCAGAAAACAAAAGTTTCCAAAAAATTGCCAAGTTGAAATAGAATTAATAAAATGTAACAATACATATTATTCATTATATTTAAAGTGTCTATTAAAGTTGACATTAAATTTTAAGTAAAAGTGTACAAGTGTAAGTTTATCTTTTTAAAGATCAAAATCCTAAAACACCATTAAATTTATGAAAAGAAGACTAAATAGAAGGGGTCATTTGTAATATAATAATATTTCACTCCAAATTGTTACAATCATAACCACAAGGTTCAATTTAAGACTACATTTTCTTTTTCTTTCAATTATTTTTTCAAATGTCTTTCGTCCACAAAAATATGTATATGTACATTTAAGTTCTTAAATAATTATAAAACATTATTCTAAAATAAGTTTAAGTATATATTTTAGTATCTCTTGAGTATATGACTTATTCTTTTGAGGTTTACGATTTTTAGGGCTTGAATACATTTTTGGTCTATATACTATTTTTTGTTCAATTTGGTCCTTATCTTGATTTTGTGTCATATTAGTACATTTACCTCTAAAATATTTAAATTAATCTGTAACGACCCCAGAAATAAAAATGAAATGTATGTATTAAAAAGTTCTAAGTGCGGAAACGAAATAAAAATTCTGATTAATATCCCTTACACAATAACAAAAAACGAATTCAACGTATGAAAGAATAAACTAACTAAAGTAAATACTAGTAATGAATGCTATAAATAAAATTATGAAATCTTTAGACGTCTACTCGCCGTCTTCCTGCGGGACGGGCTCGGGAACCAAATCCTCCTGATATGAAATTGTTAAATAAGGAATGAGCTACACTAGCTCAGTAAAGACATCACACTATCTCACTATCACAGAAGTAAAGGTTGGTAGAAAACAAAAACGACCAATGGAGCATAATTCATGATAAATTCATTTATCAATAATAAAATCCTTTGCTGTCCACTTACCTCGGTGAGCTTCATGAAAACAACATAAGAAAATAATAACATTATAATATCATGAAATCATACACACTTTATAACATAACACATATCATACCTTTGCATTTCAATCATCAGACAACATATTTTTCTCTTTTATCAGCCTACTAGTATACACGTGAACCACTCACATTGATAACTTGATTCAGGGCCGTCCCCATACCCCATCCGGTATGGGTGCCAAAACACATAAGGTCTCCATACCCCGTTCGATATGAGAAACCACGTTTTCGGTAGGGTTCCCTACGAACCTGGTCCGTCCACCATCTCCCAGTATATCTAGTTAGGCTGTCGACATCATCCATTTATCAATTCACATACATTTTTCCATTTTTCTTGGTCTCAATTATACAATCAAACATAAATACGTAAACCAGTAATGAACACCAAAGAAGACAACAACGGGTTCACAATAATTCAAACCATAATAAACGAAACTGTGATTCATGCATACGAAACCATAAAATAAACACGTCCGATACCATACTGCATTTAAAACTGTGAAATAGATCAAATAACAACTGACCGAAAAATACATTAGATTCGGGCTCCATTAGCAACCTTAATTAATTATACACAATTTATGAAATACTGTTTTATCATTTATTGAGCTTTAATACCATGATACAAAATAGGGTGAGAAATCCTTACTTGTTTCGGAGTCTGAAATCGGCTTTACACTGCGCCTATGGGCAATCCCTAGATTCCCTAAATTTTTCTCCAGGAACTGAAACACACTTCCGGTACCTACACGTGTCCCGAAAAAACTCAAAATCATATCCAGGGCCTAACTCGGCCAATTTCAGAATTCCGGCACATCGACTCCGCCGTGCTCCGACGACGGCACCACCACCTACAGCGGCGATCCGCCTCGGGTTGGCCATTTTGGGTCAAATTCAGCCAAACTTGCATTGGTTCCTGCGATAAAACAACCCTAGGGCCCTCGGTGGGCCAAACAATCACGAAAAATCGAGACTTACTGACGGCGGAGCTCTCGGGTGCGACAACTTCTCCGGCGCGAGTCGCGATTATATTTTGCTCTAGTTAACCTGTAGAGAAAAGGACGGTGATCACAGTGGTGTAAAAATTGCATCAAACGGGAACCGGGAAGGACCTCATCGGAGGTAAAAATCGAGGGAAGCTGCGGCGGTGCCGCTGGACTTCGGCGGTGTTTTCCGGCCGATTGGCTGGTGGTTTTGCTCCGATTTGGCCATAGGCGGATTCAGCATTGAAAACAATCCAAAGGGAGAAAATTTACCTCGTTTAGCTATCGAAAAATCCTCCGGTGCGACGGTGGGTGGCGGCGGCCGGCTCCTCCGGTGACTGGGTCTTCTTCTCAGGCGAGGGTACTGGCGGCTAGGGTTTGAGGTTGGGTGTGAGTGAGGTTATTTATAATCTTCGCCTTATAATCTCAGCTGTCCATCACGATTTAAGCTGGACCATCCGATCGTGATTAAAATAGAAATAAATCTGGGCTGTCCGTCCGTGCGTGATTCAATCTGGGCCGTCCGTGCGTGATTCAATCTGGACCGTCCGTGCGTGTGAGATCTGGGTTGTCCGAACGCGTGAGATCTGGAC